ACAGCGTAGACTGGGAGATTTCTTAGGCCACAGTGTAGACCGAAGGATTCCACAAGTCACAGGATAGATTGAGGGATTCTTCAAGCCACAGTGTAGACTGAAGGATTCCCTAAGTTACAGCATAGAATGGAGAATTCCTAAAGCCGCAGTATAGACTGGGAGATTCCTTAAGCCACAGCGTAGACTGAAGAATTCCTCAATCCACACCGTAGAATGGAGAATTCCTCAAGCCACAGCGTAGACTTTGGGATTCCCCAAGCCCCACACATATTATTGTTATCCTTTCTATAGATTCACAAGACCATGATCTATCTATTACGTATCTGAAATAGAAATTATAGCGAAATCTTTACTCCTTCATGTCTCTGTTACTTCTTTCGCGTGACTATGATTTGTTGACCCACTGTGGGTGCACGCAGACGCCTATGGTTATATACATAATATACATAAATTTCATCGCGGCAAGAGCCGTGGTAACGACTCCAAGAATTTGTACATGTTGACAATAGCAAAAACCGGACGAATGGAGAACCGAGGATAACTAAGGCTGGGTGGTGTGGATCGACGTGAACCGAAGTAGAGGAGTTGAACTCAGCGAGAAACGATAATAATTACAAGTAAAGAGTTAATTGTAACTTGTAAAACGACTAAACATAGCCAGTATTATTGCGTACGCGAGAAGATGATACCATTGTAAAGAGGCGAGCCAGGGGAGAGATAGAATCTCGTCTAGAATCCACGAACATTGTTCGTTTGTTCTACGACTTCGTCGACGGGGACACGAGCGATGACTATTATTACTATTACTGTTAGTTGCTAATGTTACATATATAAATAAACAATCGTGTAGATGCAGAGTCGTTGGAAATCGTCAACGGAATTAGCCCTTTATCGGTTTGAGTGGAAAAGGTTATCGTATGATACGTCTTCAATGACTTCAAAGCAATTTGACTTACATTGTAGACTGAGGGACTCCCCAAACCACCTCACAGCCAATTTCTCTAAAAACTTACCAACGTAGGATGTTACTTCGGTTGACAATTTCCAGCGAATCGAGGAGCAAACGTTGATTGCCTCATCCGTCTTGGACATATTCCTGTTACTCGAAATGACCGTGGCAAATGATCCCTTAAAAGATTTGTAGCGAGTTTACATAACGAGGAAAAGATAATACATAATAATACTGATTCCGCTATGAAACCTTCTCTCGGTAGCGCGCAGCTTTTTATACAAGTAATTTGCTCGCGTTGTTTCGTGGGACAGGAATCCTCCAAGTTGGACGGAATTGTTAACGAACCTCGTATAAATAATGTATAAAATATATATGAATAATAGTAACGGGGGTGAATAATAGCACTAGGGGTTACCGAATATCTGTTGACCCTTTGGAGCGGCATTTTGTTTCTTTTTGTGAAGGAAATCTAAAAACGTTTCCTCTTGGGGAAGACCTAGGATAATGTGGGATTTCCCATAGCATGCAACGCACTGTGGGGATTCCCCTCTGTGCGATTGAGAGCCACGTGGAATTCTCCTCGCTGCGATGCGAGCCAAAAATACTGGAGGATTCCCCGCGCCATGGCGTAACCAGAGTAACCACAGTGTGGGAGTCCCCTTATTCCAGCGCGCCGTGGGTGTTTCCCGCAACGCAATTGAGACTCACGTGGGATTCCTCTTACCGCGTGAGATTTCCCAAGCCATGGGCCAACCGACATTCACGTGGGATTCGCTTTATTGGAACGCACTGTGAGACTTTCCCACAACGCAATTGATACTCAAGTGGGATTTCCCTTATCGCAACATGGCGATTCCTCACACCGCGACGTAATTGAGATTCATGTGGGATTCCCCTCACTGCGACTCACTATGAAGATAATGCGGGATTCGCCGCACCTCTGCACAGACCAAGAATGGTGTGGGATCTCCCCAACCCTATGGGAAACCCCTCACAGTCTCCTACGTGCGCATTAAGGATGGGGGGGGGGGGCGCCCCGGAAACCCCAACAACGCAACCTCCAGTACTTTGGAGAGCCATTTCCCTTAAACACGGATCGCAGAATTTGATTTAAACAATATGTTAGCTCGCTCGCGAAGAAATTCGTTTAATTTTGTTGTATCGAAGAATAATGGTGAATCGAAGTTTGAGGCTATATCCAAGACATCGTACGTATCTACGTATGTAGATCTTCAAAGGGTTGACCATCGTCGCCATTGCTTTTGCTCGCCCGTGTCCTCGTGAGAGAATGCAGTCTGTATACGTGACGTACGATATATGCGTTGACTATATACCAGCGTCGTTCAATAGAGTTTTTTAATTCTCCCGTGATCGAATTACATTTTGAGGTTATTTTTTTTTTTTTGTATTGTTATTATTGCGGAAAATTAAATTAAATATTTGTATTGGACACCACTGTTATAGAGTGCGACATATATCTGTGTGCGTTATGTACTTAAATGTATGCATACATCAGCGCGCTCTCTCTTTTCCGCACAGCACTAGTTTAATCGGCGGCATCTCGGTAGAGGGTGCCACCGTAGGCCATTGTTCGTTTCGAGTAGCCGAGAATCGAGGATCATTGCATAGCTCGGTGCACCATACGTTCTCAAAGCCACGCCCTAATCGTATGGAACCCCCGACTGTTTGATTGTCGTTCGATACGCAGACGCGACGGAACGCCGGACGCCATTGTACTTCTCCCTCTTCCATTAAGAATCCTTTCTCGGTTCTTCCTTGTTCATGGTTTTAACATGAAGGTTGGTAACCAACTGGAACTTGAGGATCAATCGTTGTTCACATAAAGAAAGGGAAAGCCTTCGGTATGGTGATTTTAAAACGTGCAATTTACTGACTTGTATTATTTCAGTATAGCGAATTTAAAACGTGCAGTTGGCTGGCCAGTATGACTTCAGTATTGCAAATTTCGAACTTGACCGTTGTTCCAGTCGTCCGGCGTTCCACGGCGTTTCCCAATTTTACTAATTAACGAATAAAGTGTACCATTAATTACGTTATACGTGAAAGCACACTGCCGCAATTTTGTATGATTGACTGTTTGTTATATATACCTATTACCTACGTATACATAATTATTAACGGAGACTCGAATCAATACGTGTCTGTCACAGGATTCCAGGGTATGTTCCACGATTTAATTTCTCTTTTGAAAGCACGGTAACGGAACATAGTACAGCGGTTTTCATTCAGGAATCGATTTCGGAATTTTCGTTTTTTCGTGGGGGATATCGTCGAAAGACGTGCGGGGCCTCTTGGGGGAGAACCAGGAATCCCCTTAATGCAGCGCACCATGGGGATTCCCCACGCAACTGAGATTTATCTGGAATTCCCCACACCATGACGCAACCACGGCTTGTGTGGGGTACCCCTT